TGTGTCCCCAACTGGGGTGCAGGGATGCTGGGGGTCTGGAGGGGGATGGGGATGGGGAAGGGGATCCCGACGGCAGGAACGAGCGGCTCCACAGGGGAGGGGGGGGGGCACGAAAGGGGAGCGTGCCCCCCTCGAAGAGCGGGCCCAGGACCCCCAGCCCGTCCCGCGTCTGATGTTGCGTTCCCATCGTACTTCAGGTTCAGTCGGGCGTGTCCCTTTACATGAGGAGTAACAGAAAATTGCTTTAAACATAGTATGTGGACGACGTTTTGAGTATTTGACCACTTTGAACATGTGTTTGGATCTTTTGAACTGCTTGGTGAAAAACCCGTCTGTAAGAGGACATGCCCGACCTATACTTACGGACCGCATTCCAAAAGCAATTTCGAGCACCCCGAACAGTATCGAAACTGTCTGCCCGACACGCTGACGAAGTGCCGAACGAGTGTCGCATCCCAGGGCCCGACACGTGAAGACCGTCCAGTCTCGAAGCTCTTCTGGTGCTCGAAAGTATTTCTGGTGCTTGATGTTAAACAAGTTCGGAACATCATAACCCGAGGCGTTCCTGTGAACCCTGACGTCCGAAGATGCAGAAAATCTTCGGGTCATGCCCCCCTTCGGGGTACTTCTTCCTTACCCGCCACGTGCAGTCGGCGCAGCCCCTAAAACAAATGAAGGGAGAAGGAAAGATGGACCACGGCAGCGATTGGCAGGAGGGGGTCAGGAGCAGAAAAACAAGCGGCAGAACCAGACGGGCGGGTCGGGGGGGCGGACCCTAACTGGCGGGTCGGGCGGGCGGGCCCACACGGCGGGGTCGAGCGAGCGGGTCCCCGAAGCGTCAGTCCTGCATGGAGCGCGGGCAAGTCTCTAGCGAGAGCGCGATTCCCAAGCAAATCGTTGGGAGATCCTGAGCGAGAGCGCGATTCCTGATTGTCGGGGGCGCGGCGTTTCCAGGAACCGAAAGGCACTCCGGCGCAGGCGCGCGATTCCCGCAGGAGTTGTGCGGGCGTCCCGCGCGAGAGCGCGATTTTGAACAACCGGCAGGGACACGTCAGGCTGGAGACGCTGTCGTGGCAATGTTGGGGCCAGGGGCGCAGCCTGGGCCTCGAGACTGCCCCTTGCAGAAGCAAGGGCGCGAACCCAGCGAGGAGCACTTCGGTTGAAAAAACACCCTGGGCACCGCGCTGGGGGGGGATCAGCACTGATTATCTCGAGGGATGGCAGGTCAAGAATCTGGGCGACGGGATCCCACTTCGGCCGCGCACCCAGGAACAGCGAGTGACCGCTCGGCCCCCCCGCCCTGAGACTGCTGCGCTCCTGGATGCTGCGCGAGATGGCGCAGCGACCTCACTCCAGATTTCGCAATCCAGGGAAGGGGGTCTCCTTTCGGGGGGGGGGGTCTCTTCCAGGCTGTCTTGGAGGGCCTGGGGGGGCCTGGGGACCATGTTTTGGAGGGTTCTCCCACGAGGGGGGGTCTGAAATGGCTTGTCTTGGAGGGTCCAGACCCCCTCCCTTGTATTCCGAGATCTGGAGTACTGTACGCCGCAGCTTGCGGGGGCCGCCAGCGCGGCACGCTACTTACCATTGGAGACGGAGGGCGCCCTCGCGCGAACCTGCGCGGGCAGCTCGCGCGCAGACGTCGGTGCAGACGACCCGCCCTGCTTGCGCCGCTCATGCCGCAGGAGAGCCCAGAGTCGAATCGACGAGTCGGATCGGGACACGACACGAATCGGATCGGCGGACATCGGCAGCCGCGTCGGGAAAAGCCGGATCGGCGGGAAAACGGCAGGCGAGTGCGCGCGTCCAAGAAGGAATGGGGACCCACAGCGGAATCCCGAGTCGAATCGAATCGGAATCGGAATGCCTCGCCATCGGACCGAATCGGAGGAATCGAAGCGAGCCCTGTGTTGTGCTCCTCGAGGGGCGCAAGCCCGGTGCGGCTTCGGGCCCCCTGCCGGCTCGGCCCGCAGCGGCTCCAGCGGCCGGAGCCGAGGCCGAGGCCGAGGCCGCAGAACGGGCCGAGGCCGCCGAACAGGCCGATCGAGCCGAACCGGGCCGACGCTTCCGGGGGAACCATCAGGCAGGAGAGTCCAGAGTCGAATCGACAAGTCGGATCGGCGATCGACATGGATCGGATCGGCGGAAATCGGCAGCCGAGTCGGGAAAAATCGGATCGAAAGAAATCGGCAGGATAATATGCGTCCAATTAGAAGTCGGAATCCAAACAGGAATCCCAAATCGAATCGAATCGGAATCGGAAGCCATCGAAATCGAATCGAATCGAATCGGCGGCATCGAAGTGAGCCCTGAACAGGTGAGCGACGATCGAAAGCCGGTCTCACGCAAGATGGCATGGCGACCTTACGCGGCGGCTTGAGCGGGCCGCCGGCGCGGCATTCTGCAGTAGAGACGAGGGCGCTTGCGCGCGAGCTTACGCGCCAGAGTCGGCACAGACGACCCCGTTTTCTTGCGTCGCTCAGGTGATGATGCCGCTGCACCTGGGAGTGCGTTCTGAGGACTTCGAGGCGAATCCTGCGGTGTGGCGACGATGGCCTCCCAGGAGGCCCAAAATGCAAGGCGGGGACTTGTCCATATCCACCGCCTGGGAACCGACGTCCTGGTGCCCCAGCGGGCGACGGGTATGTATATAGTTTGGCCCCTGGGGGCCAGAATATGTCCATATCCACCGCCTCCCGAGGTCCCCGACAATTGATCCTCCAGGCGGGGACCACGATGGGAGGGACCAGGGGACCACGATGGGAGGGCAGAGGCATGCGCCCCTCCGTGATGGTCATGTTTTTTTAGACGAGGTCGAGTTCGTGATGGCGAGGCACATTCAGCAGCAGTCGAGCTGCTTTCATGCTTGGAGCTGTACCCCGCTGGCCATCACCGCCCCCTGGCCTCCCCGCCCGAGCTGCAACGCTGGCCCTTTCCGCTCCCCTTGAAGGCAGAGGGTACCACGATGGGGAGGCAGAGGGGATACCTGTACCTCCTCGGAGCGGTGGCCCGCCTTCGGGGGGGGGGTGGCCCACCCGACCACGGGCGGCTCGACCGCCGCCCTCGCTCCTCCCGCGGGTCGTACACCTGCAGCAGGCCTCGCGGGCGGCGGGGGCGCGGGCGGCGGGCGCTGCGCCCTCCCAGCACCGCCTCTGCTCCTCCGCACCACGCCCCCCAGGCAGGCCCGACTCCGCGGCACGCCTCCGCGGCGCATGGCTTTTGAGGGCGAATCCCCAAGATTGTCGTCGCCTTTTGGCGTGTCAATCTTAGGGATAGGGATACGCTCGAGGCTGGTAAGCATCCGAACGACCCCCAGCCGCTCCGACCCCCGCGGGTGGGCCGCCCCCGGGGCAGGCCCGACCCCGCGGCGCGTGGCTCCGCAGCGGCACGGCTCCGCGGCGCGTGGCCGGGAGGGCCGCCGATCCGCGCCGGGGCCGGGGAGCCCCGGGGGGGGGGGCAGCGAGGGGCTCGTTGTTTTCATGCCTTGCTTCGCCGATCGGCGCGGGTCCTCGCAGCCCCTCCCTCCCCCCCTCCATGGAGCAGATCTTGGCTGTTTTGGCGCCTGTTTCGAGCAGGTGGAGCAGATCTTGGCTGTTTCGGGTTCGTTTTTTCATTCCTTGCTTCGCCGATCGGCGCGGGCCCTCGCAGCCCCCTGCCTCCCCTTTGTGTTGTTCCCGTCCTGCTTAAGGAAGAATTTCGAGCACCCAGGAAAGTGTCAAAGGGGTGTCGAAGCGGTGTCGAAAGAATGTCGGGCGAGTGTCTCCCAGGGCCCGGCCCAGTGTCTCCCAGGGCCCGGCCCCCTCCCCTCACAGGGCAGATTTTAGTACATATGATTTTTTGGTAAAAAAAAACTGGGAGTTTGAATACATGGCTAATTTAGGAAAAGATCTACGCATGAACTCATCGTTGGTTTTAATACTAAATCCCTGCATTTTTATACATGATCCGCACGCGGAGCAGGTATTGAAAACGGCACTGTATGTTGTTCCCGTCCTACTTAAGGACCGCATCGCAGAAAGAATTTCGAGCACCCAGAAAAGTGTCAAAGGGGTGTCGAAACAGTGTCGAAAGAGTGTCGGGCGAGTGTCTCCCAGGGCCCGGCACGTGAAAACCCTCGAGTTTCGGTACTTTTTGGGGGCGCTCGAAATTCCTGGTGATCAAGGTTAAAGTAGGTTGGAGCATCATAACCCTCCCCTCCTCCATGGAGTAGATCTTGGCTGCTTGGGCGCCTGTTTCGAGCAGGTGGAGCCTACCCAGTGGGACGCACTGGCGCAAACAGTCGCACAAGGCCACAAGTCCAGAGCCAAACCTCCCCCCTCCCCAACCCCTTCCGCCCAATGTCGAGACGCCGAATCAGAAAACGCGCACGAGAGTGGGCATGTCCCTCTACAGGAGAAATATCCACGAATGGTAAACAATAGTCTGGGGACGATTTGCCGACTGTGTTTGAACTATGCCCGAATGTTTGTTGCCTGTTTTCATGTCCTCTAAAATACGCCTGTAGGAGGACATGCCCGACCTGACGGAAGGCTCGGAAGGCCCCTGGCCTCCTGAGCAGTTCTCCGAGCCTCCCCCGAGGGCACAGGAGGCATCCCAAAGGGCCGGAGGGCCTCCGAGAAGCCCCGCCGCCCTCTGAGGATCGGGTCGGGCGAAAGGGGGGGAAGGGGGGGGGGGGGGGTAGAATCAGCTCACGTAGCTGATTTTCCCGGCGCCTCCCGGCGCCGGAGGCGCCCATGTATCGAGGAATGGGCCCCTCGGTGGGGCCGAAACCAGCTACATGCAGCAAATTTCGTAACCCCCTCTTTCCCTATCCCCTCCTTTCGTCCGGCCCGAGAGGAGCCCTTCTGTCATTCTCCCCCACACTCGCTCGTCGTCGGCCACTGCCCAGCACTCTCTAAGGTCGGTGGACTGCCCCTGGCCAGGCCCCTCCTGGGCCCCGGAGCGGTGTCTGCGCCCTCCTCTGCTTGGCTTATGTCGGGCGTGTGCCCCTACAGGGGGATTTTCGACGGAATATAAAAAATACACCAAAAATACGCCAGAAAGGTCAAAAAATACTAAAAAGAAAATAGTCTCCAGACTATGTTTGGACTATTTTTTGATTATGTTTGGGGTATGTTTATTTTTCGTCGAACATCCCCCTGTAGGGGGACAGGCCCGACTTAAGGCTTGGCCAGGAGTGCAGACGCACAGCTCCCGGGCCCAGGACTCGGGTGGGGAATCGGCTACAGAGCTGCTGCACCCCAGCACTGCTAATCTCGTCGAGTGCACGATGAGTTTGGAGATTTGGCTCACAGATCCACAGGGCATTCCAACATGTTTCTCGTAGATATAGGCGAGCAGACCAACTTTTGGGGGTACATCGAATTTGGAACCGATCTCCTACGGGAAGGACGGGAGGTGCCCCGTTCGCCTCAAGGCGAGGGCCGGCTGAACGCAACGAGCGACCCTGTGGGCAGGAGTGACCGGTGGTACGCGGCTTTCGGGGAGGTGCGCGGAGGACGCTTCGGTGGCAACTCATGGGAGCATCCCATTCCATCTTGTCGACTCTCGCGAATCGACGCTAAATCGACACCAGTCGACGCTAGATCGACGCTGATCGACGCTGGCCGACGCGAAATCGGCGCCATCTCATCGACTCCAAACGCTCATCGGCGCGAGTCGACGCTAAGGACGGAATTGCGAGGGCACACAAGGCTACCATGATCTGCGATCGAAGGAGGACGCCAAACCCAGGCACGCCAGCCGCTGCCATCGTCGGGGATACACTGCCCTAGGCTTAGGCCAATCCAGACCCGGGTTACTCGGGCGTTTCAGGATCCATCAGAATCCTGCAGGATTCTCCAGGATCCTGCACGCAAGGCCAGGCCAATGCACCCCTGGCTCTGCAGGATGCTACAAGAGCGGGCGCTCCGACCGACCCCCGTTTGCTTTGGCCCCCGCCTCTTGGCACCGACAGCGCTCCGCAGTCAGCGCTCCCGGGACCCCAGTGGGCCCGCCTCGAGGGGGTCACTTCGGCGAAGAGTCACTCTTACGAGTAGCCGAGAAAGGGGAAACTCCGGAGAGCGTGTATATGTTTTTTCGCGACGGCCGCTGCCCGCCCCGGCCGACCCCTTTCCCCCCCCAGGTAACGTCACTATTCGTGTTGACCTCCGAATTGATTCTGGTCATTCCTACGCTCTCCCAGGCGGCGCTGGCGCGAAACGTGGCGTTACCAGCCCCCCGCCCCCCGCCCCCCTCCCAATTCCCCCCGTCACGCCCGCTGTCGCCCGGGAGTGCAGAAACTCTCTCCACGATGCCCAGCAGCACCTGCGGTCCCAAACCGACAGCGGCCGCTGTGAGGCAGGCGGCCTCCTGTCTCGGATGCAACTACTGGGAGGTCTCCGCCGGAAGGACTTGGGAGGATTCAGCCCCAGCAGGGGGCCGGTACGCCGGATCGAGCCCCGGATGAAGCGGGATTAGGCTGGATCAAGCGGGATCCAGAGGGATTTAGCCGGATCGAGCGGGATCAGGCCAGAGTTCGGACCAGGGCAAGGTCAGGATGTGACACCCCAGGATGAAGGGGCCCTGGGACACACACAAATAAACACACACAACTAAAAAGGGTCCCCATATTTCCCCAGATTTCCTGGGTTTCTGTCTTCCCCCCCACCGCCCACATTTTCCCACATTTTCTGGGGGATCGACGATTCACTGTGTCTGTGTGCTTTCTCCTCTCCTGAAGAAAGGGGGCCGCCGGCGCACGGGGGCCTGAGTCCACGTTGCACTCGTGCACCTCTCATGCCCGGCGGAGGGCGCGGAGGCGGCGGTCCGGGGCTCCCTGCGCGCCCGCCGCGGGCCCGACCACGAGAGACCTGCAGAGGGGAAGCCCAACCCTGAGGCCCCAGAGGGCGTGCACTGATTTTCGGCGTGGGAGCGTCGCGCGCTCCAGGGCAACGACATCGGAAGCCAAAGACGCCCAGGGCGCCCTGGAGGCAAGCAGGGTGTTCCTTGGCATGGGCCCCCACTGTGCTGCAAGCTCGGGGGCCATGGCGGCGGGGCGGAGCGCGCTGCGGGGGAGGGAGGGCGACCCCCACGCGGACGTTGGCAGCGCAGCCAGTGGCCTGGGATCGGCCGACATCCGAGGCTCTGCACTGTCGGAAGGCGCCACCTGCGCCGTCGGAGAGCCGCAGTCAATCGAAGAGCCGCGCGGTGCCAGAAACCAACGGCGGTGGCGGCGCCATAGCGACGCGAGCCTGCCGTGCCGACGCCATTACGCCTCCCTCGCTCAGGCTCTCCTTGGGATTCCTGGGGGGCCCTGGGCGAGTCGGGAAAAGAGAAGAGAGAGGGAGAGAAGGGAAAGGGGGGGGGGACGAGGAGGAAAGGCGAGAGGAGGCTTCCGGTCGCACCGTGATGCCGAGCTCGTTGGCGTAGTTGGTCAGCCGGTTGTTTTCGGAACCGCCCCCGCCAAGGCCTGGGCGGGCATCTTCTAAATACGACATCTCATGCACCGTGATCTCCTTTTCGTCGACGTCCTCCTCATCCTCCTCCCCTTCCTCCTGCTGTCCCCGCTAATACATTCTCCTTCGGACCCATTTCCGCCTCCGCATTGCCTCCCCTTCACACCACTCCGCCTCCTCCTCCTCCTCCTCCTCCTCCTCATCATCATCATCATCATCATCATCATCATCCTCATCCTCATCCTCATCGTCATCATCATCATCATCAGCATCATCATCATCATAATCAGCATCATCATCATCATCATCATCATCATCATCATCAGCATCAACATCGGCAGCAGCAGCAGCATCAGCATTGTCAACCTCATCATCATCAGCATCAGCATCATCAGCAGCATCAACCCCATCAACAGCATCAACATCATCATCGTGTTCATCGTCATCGTCATCGTCATCATCATCATCATCATCATCAGCATCATCATCATCATCGGCATCGTCATCGTCATCATTAGCAGTAGCAGCATCATCATCATCACCACCATCAGCAGCATCGTCATCATCATCAACCTCATCATGAATATCAGCAACAACAACATCATCATCACCATCATCAACAGCAATAGCATCATCATCATCACCACCATCACGATCACAATCACCATCACCACCGTCATCATCATCATCATCATCAGCATCAGCATCATCATCATCATCAGCATCATCATCATCAGCATCATCCTCATCCTCATCCTCATCCTCATCATCAGCAGCAGCAGCAGTATCATCATCATTCGCATTACCATTCTCATCCTCATCCTCATCACCATCACCATCCTCATCCTTATCCTCATCCTCATCATGCTCCTCGGCCTCCGAACCCACCTCCCCTCCGCCTCCACTCCCTCCTCCATATCCTCCTTCCCCACCTCGTTCGCACCCCCTAACCACATGCAGCTCGCATCCCCTAACCACAACGTTGGTCGCACGACCAAAGTTAACCAGCCTCGAACTTATCCCTATCCCTAAAGATGGGCAAGCAAAAAGCGAGGACAATCTTAGGGATAGACCCTCAGAAACTGAGGGAATCCTTACGATCGGCATCGAGGTGAGGTGCTGCCAAACATAGGGATAGGGATATGTTTCAAATTGGTAAAAAGCAGGAAGGCACTGGAACCAGCTTGGGCTTCCGCCGCCCGCCGAAGAGGGAGGAGGGAACACCACTCGCCTCTTGAAGCAAGGAGCTCAAGTAGGGTCCGGGAATCCCCCCACAAAATGGGAATCCCAGAACTGGGAATCCCAAAACTGGGATCCCAAAATTGGGGGACCCCAAATGGGAATTTGGGAATCCCAAAATTGGGAATCTTCTGACCCAGGTCAGTCCGGACCCGGGTCAGTCGGGTCTTGCCGCATCCTGCAAGATCCTGCAAGATCCAGCACCCAAACCGGGCGCCAGGCCCCGCACCGAACAGGAGGCGAGGAGGATGAGGAGGAGGAGGAGGAGGAGGAGGAGGACCTCCTCATCCTCCTTTCTCCCCCGTCCTACAAGTGGTAGCGGTGGTGGGAGATTTGCCCATCAGCAGAGAGTGCGGTCCCCCGAGGGGAGGCGGGACGCAGAGCAGCGCGGCCCAGCTCCTGCGAAGTCTTCCGCCGCAGCAACGCGACGACAGATGGTTCTGGACACTGTCCGCCGGTCGGAGAAGCAGAGGCAATCGGTTGACGGTGGGCCTGTGGCCGACGCGTCTTACCAAGGCTGAGCAGCGTCACCGCGGCCTTGAACTTTCCCCAACGACTACGCCGGACAGCTCGAGGCTCGACGACCACCTCTGCGGCAAAACAAACATCAGAAAGAAAACGGCCCACGAACTCGCCCAAACACTGTTTAGGTCGAGCTCCGGGCGGAAGAAGTGGGTCGAAGCATGGAAGCAGGAAGGCGTGAAAAGAGGAGGAGGAGGCGGAGGTGGAGGAGGAGGAAGAAGAGGAGGAGGGGGAGGGGGGAGGAGGAGGAGGAGGAGGAGGAGGAGGAGGAGGAGGACGACGAGGAGGAGGAGGAGGAGGAGGAGGAGGAGGAGGAGCACGAGGAGGAACGTAGGTCGGGGCTTCCGCCCGCCCCCCGAAAAACAGGGAGGGCCACGGGCAGGGCCGCGGCGAAGCCTCGACGGCCCCCCCCCCCAAGTGGGCCACGAGGAGCACGGGCCCTCCCCGGAGCGGGCGGCGACGGGGCGGCAGCGGGGCGGCGACGCGGCGAGACCTCGGAGGACCCCCCCCCCCAAAGTGTAGGGAGCCCATAGAGGACGTACGCGCCCAGCTATGTACATGAACACGGCCCCTCGATCCGCGAGACCGGCCGCGTTATACGAGCATTTGCGCAATGCGTACTCCAGAAACCAGCGTGGATTCATGTACATGTACGTCCTTCTTTCGCTCCTGGGCGGCAACGACCCCTCGAGGTGGGCCGCGAGGTGGGCAGCGGGCGGCGACGCGGCGAGACCTCGACGTGACCCGTCCGATTCCTCAGGGATGCAACTTTGAGAACCCCGAGTGCCCTGGTTGCAAGCACTCTTCGAGGAACATCCCAAACTCCCAAAAACTCGGAGATGGAGAGAACAGCCCTCACTGATGGATGGTTGCCGATTCGCTTGTCGCCCCCCCCCCCGCGGCTTATGACGATGCCGCTCTTGCCCGCACGGCCGACGCGGCCGGCACGGTGCGCGTAGGCGTGCGCGTCCGGGGGCATCTCGAAGTTGACAACGTGGGATAACTCGAGGCCGGTCTTGATATCATCCTCTTCGGCCTCTTCCTCCTCATCTGCCTCCCGACGTCTCCTCGTTCGTGGCCCTCGGCATTCGCTCGGCCGCTCTCTGTTCGGTCCCGCCTCGCTCGGCCCCCCTCGGCCTGTTCGGTCCCTCGGAACTGTGCTGCGAGCGTAGCGTGTAAATCCGAGCGTCCCTGCAGTGGGCGGTAGTGGTAGTCCTTTTGATTCATCGTCCCACAGCCGTGAGCAAGCAAGCCGACGTCTCCCTCATCACCTCCTCCTCCTCATCATCTTTCGTCCTTCTCCTCCTGCGCCCCTGCCCATGGGTTCAAGCTCCGCCAGCCTTTCCCAACATCAGTGACTACCTGACGGCCACCTGCTCGAGCACGTACTCCATCCTTTTCCTCGTCCCCGTCCCCATCCTCCTCCTCCTCCTCCTCCTCCTCCTCCTCCTCCTCCTCCTCCTCCTGCTCCTCCTCCCCCTCCTCCTCCGTCCTCCGTCCTCCGTCCTCCGTCCTCCCCTCCTCAGCATCATCCGTCCTGCTGCATCGTGCGGTGCGCAAGGAATTTCGAAAGAGGGAAGGTCGATGCTCGTGGGCGTGTTTGGGGGCGTTCTGGGCGTCGGGGGGCTTCCTGAGGCCTTCCAGTTTCGATCCGCGGTCCCCGGTGGGGGAGAAGGCGGAGGAAGGAAGAGGTGAAGGACAGAGGTAGGCGGCTGAGGAGAAGGACAGCTTAGTCGGATGACGAGGCGGAGGATCACAGAGGGGGATGACGGGGGAGGAGGAGGAGGAGGAGGAGGAGGAAAAGGAGAAGGAGAAGGAGAAGGACGCATGATGATGCTGCTGCTGATGCTGCTGATGCTGTTAATGATGATGATGATGATGATGATGATGATGATGATGATGATGATGATGATGATGATGATGATGATGATGATGAGGATGAGGAGGAGGAGGAGGAGGAGGAAAAGGACGGACGAGGGGGAGGAGGGCAAGAAGGAGGGGGCCGGGGAAGGAGCAGTAGGAGGAAGTGACTTGGGAACAAGAGGCCTGGATACAATACTACAAAGCGTAAGAAACGCCATCTCGTCACCCGCCAGCGCTCTGCAGGAGGAATCACCGCGTGCCCCCCCACGATCTGATTTTAAGACTTCGGCGCAAAACTCGCACTGCCACTGGGGAGATGCCTTCGGACATCTGAACCAGGGCCGCCGTAGAACACGGGGCAACAACTCCTCTGCACTTGGCCCTGGAAGGTGTTCCAGCATTTGAGCACAGCAGGCGCCACAGCACACTCAACACATGGGTGTCCCCTTGGGCCCTACTCGACGGCCCAAGGCGGAGAAGCCATCACCTGGCACCGAGCCAGGAGCCTCCCCAGAGGCCCCCCCTGCGGGGGCCGCAGCTGGCGCAGCCAAGGCCGCTTCCATCGCCGTATGCATCGCAACTGGACGGGGGCGGCCTCCACCACCGAATGCCAACCTTGGCCCTGGCAGCAGGGAGCACTGAGGGGCACCAGCGGCCACGGGCACTCGTGGGGAGCTCGGCAGTGGTGGGATCCTGGCCCGGGCGACGCATCGCCTGCACAAAACTGGGTGGCCTGGTCTCACGCTGCATAGTTCATGCTCTTGCCTGCTGCGCCGATCATAGGTAGCGGGGGCCTGACAGGAGGAACGTTGGGATACTGACTGAGAGCAATGCGCCTGACCATTGACATCGATGACCTCCTCTGCCGCGGCGGGCTGCGCCTGGGACCAACTAACGAACAACTGGCCTCGCGCTTGTGCAACTGAAACGGACCAGCACTGCATTGATCAACACTCCTAGAGGCCGCGAGCTCCAGCGCCCCAAGCTTAGCCATGGCATTAACCCACACATTGCCTACATTAGAAAAGAAACAACTGCTTAAACATAAACTGTTGGGGCTCCGCGCAGATATCTTGGATCTGCGCTGGACCCCCCTCCGTGGCGCGCGGAACGCGCCAGGGGCTGCGCAGGAGGCGCCGCAGGGGGGCCCAGAGCGGATCCAGGAAGGCCGCGCGGAGAGCAACAGTTTTTGTTTATGGCGTTTTGTTCTCCTTCGATTCATGGCCGAACCAAGGGGACCCAACGAAAGGCACCCTCGTACGCAGCCTCCGAAGGATTCAGCGGCCAATGTATGTTTACGTCATGTTTCCTTCTTCGATTGCCTACATGCCGCTCTGGAGGCTTCTCTCGAGATGGGCCTCGAGGAGCTCAGGGAGGGCGAGGCGAGCGGCGGGGCCGCTCGAAGCTAGGAGGGGGCCCGGACACTATGCGGGCCTCGAAGGGCTGTCCCTGGACCGACGAGTCCGAGCTGCTAGAGGTGATGACGAGGAGGAGGAGGAGGAGGAGGAGGAGGACAAGGAGGACAAGGAGGAGAAGGAGGAGGACCAGGATGAGGAGGAGGAGCAGGATGATGATGATGATGATGATGATGATGATGATGATGATGATGATGAGGATGAGGATGAGGATGAGGATGAGGAGGAGGAGGAGGAGGAGGAGGAGGAGAAAGAGTAGGAGGAGGCGGAGGACGAGGATTCCGAGGAGGGTGTGGACAAGGAGGACGAGGAGGACGAGGAGGAGGAGGAGGACGTGAACAAGGAGGAGGTTAATTTTGACGAGGGTTGTAGCCTACCCTCCACGAGCGCTGAGCCAGGACGCTGCCAGCGGGACACTCGCTGCCTGCCGCGTGGGAGGCATTCCAGACAGCCTGCCCAGGCGTGCGCCGCTGCTCCCATACGAAGCCTGCGCATACGTGTGAGCAATGTCAAGAAAAGCTCAAGGGCGCAGCTGAGATCGGCTCCATGATGCGATCACGCTGAGTCGCCAGATGCACGGTCACGCTGGCGCCCACTCTGACATCGGTTCCACGATGCGATCCCGCTGCGTCGCCAGACAGACGGTCACGATGACTCCCACCTGTCCCCGCACACCGTGGTCGCCGTCTTGCGGAAGCAGCGCAAACCGGCGCCAGTGACACCAATGACGGCCGCCCCGCGCGCAGCGGAGCTGCCCAGCCCCTTGCGCCAGAACGGTTGCACCCTGCTGCCAGCGGTTTCTCGAAGCGACAGCCCGCGCGGCAGCCAAGCTGGCATCGTGGCAAGCCGAGCCCTCACCACCAGAATGACAACCAGTCCCACGTAGAGGTCGTTGTCCAGCTTCTTGCTGGCTTTCTGCGGCTCGAGGCGCAGCGTTGCACGATCAGCACAAACTGGCGGCACTCCTGCGCGAGGCACCTCGCCGCCGACGCCAGCTCTTTGGCCGGGTGTACCTGCTCGCCGACGACATGCAGCGTGGCATCGTCTACGAGTGCGCGAGGCCCGCCGCACCCCTGGAGCCGACAACTGGACCCTCTGCACAATCCCGTATCCATGCACACCTACACAATGAGCAGCGTGGCGGGATATGCGTGCAACAAGACAAGATGCACCGCCAGACCGTCATCAGATGTCTGACGCTGTCGTAGGCACTGACCACTCTGGCATCCTGAAGCAGTGGGATGCCACTTGCCAGCGTAAACTGACAGGATAGCCAACGGTCATCGCTCAGACTACCAACTGGCCGAACCACACCGTGTCGAACCACTTCCACATGTCCACCACGACCGACATGGAATGCTCGCCCAAGAAGTGCGCCACCTCTCACTGCACCGACCTTGCAGACGTGCTGCAGCGGATGTTTGCGAGGGTTGCTGTCAATGCAAAACCCGAAACGGCGTGGATCTTTTTTAGTATTCGGTCCTGGCCCAACAAACATCCGTACGAGATTCACCTCGAAATCCAGAACGATATTCTCCAGGAACGAGCATCGTTTAACCGATCCCTATCCCCACTGGTGTCGCCTGGGCCCACTGGCCGATTTACCCCCCCAAATGGGGATACAGGCTGATCCCTTTGGGGTCCGACGGGTATATCCCCAACTGGGGTGGTGGGATGGTGGGGTCGAGATGGGGATGGGCATGGGGACAGGGATCGGTTAAACGATACTGATGCACCGCTGAACGAAATTCTCCAGGACACTCCGGGCCCACCCTATCGTCTTCCGAACGGAATCCGCTCTGTGATGTTGGCGCCACGACGCCTCCACCGCCATGCTACGAGAGGACGCCCACGCCGAGGCCGAGGACCCGCTCCGAGTGCTCCAACGGCTGCCGCTGGGGTGGCTCGCAGCCCAGGGCCGCGACGGCGGCCGCCGCCCGCCCGCCCACAGCCTCACGGACGGCGTGGGGGAGCGCCGTCGGCCTGGCTGCCGCCGCTCTCCTGCGGCAGACGCACCGTCTCGGCGCGAAGGCGATCCGTCGGCAGCGGGAGCACCTCCTCGCGCTTCACGAAGAACGCCACCATCGCCATGCAGTGGAGGACAGTCCACAAGAAACATTCAACAAGAAGCCCAACCCTGAGACCCCGGGAAGTCCATTGGTTTTGGTCTGAGAAAATCACGCTTCCCATGGCAAAACCGTCGGAACCCGAGAAACCCATGGCACCCTGGAGGCAAGCAGGGTGTTTCTTGGCAAGGGCCTCAACTGTAATTAGTTCCCTGGTCAGACAAGATCCAGGGGGATCTCGGCTGCCGCCAGAGCATGTACACGAACCCGCTGCCGTCAAAAAAAGCAGGCGGGCGGAGGAGGACGGAGGAGGAAAAGGACGGATATGAAGGATGGGGAGGATGCGGAGGAGGAGGAGGAGGAGGGGGAGGGACAGGGGGAGGGGGAGGGGGAGGAGGAGGAGGAGGAGGAGGAGGAGGAGGAGGAGGAGGAGGAGGAGGAGGAGGAGGAGGAGGAGGAGGAGGAGGAGGAGGGCAGCAGCAAGGATGTCAATCAGGGCGCTGGCAATTCTCTATCACCTGAGGGGGTGTTGCTTGGTGAATGGCGGTTCTGGCCTCGTGACCTTAGAGTGGTGGAGGTGCGCAGTCAGAGCTTGGAGGTGCTTGACGCGAGAAGGAGGCTGAGGGATGTGCTTAGTTAGAGGCCTCCTAGATGGGGTCGGAGTAGATGAGGTCGGAGTATCGCGCAGCATCGTCGATGCACCGCCAAAGTCGGCAAAGAATCGGCGACGTCGGCGTGGAGAAAATCGGGTTTCGCATCGAGCCGCATCGGCGAGGCATCGGCGATGCGGTGCGATCATCCGACCCCATCTACGCACTCCGATCCCAGCTAGGACGCCTAGAGAGGAGGCGAATCGATGTGCTGAGAGCGAGAACTGGCCATCGCTCGGACGTCCATTCCCTGTGTTTTTTTCGGTTTCGTGCGTGGTTCTTTCGCTGAATGATCAAGGATGCTCCTCGATGGCCCTCGCCGAAGGAAAAATGCACACGCCCGAGCGATGCCAAGAGAAGGAGACGGAGAAGGAGATTCTGGGCCGGGCGGGGGCATTAGAGAGCGGCCCGGGGCGGGAGAGCGGCTCCCCGGACGCGGCCGGCAGGCAACTCGGGAGCCGATCCCGCCCTCTCCCGCCCGCCCGCGCGGGCGACGGCAGGCTCTGCTTCGCCCACCCCCTCTTCGGCGGCGGGCCCAGGGGAGAAGTGAGAAGAGGAAGGCCTTCTCAGAAGGCTCGGAGGTCTCGCCGCCTTCTGAGAAGCTCTCTGAGCCTTCGCCGCAGACGAAGAACACTTATCAGAAGGCGCGGGGGGCTTCTGAGAAGTCACGCCGCCTTCTGAGATCGTCTTCTCCTTCTCACTTCCCACCCCTCGCGGTAAGGATGCCAGGGCCTCGGAGGGCAGTGCTGGCGTGCCCGAGCGGGGGCTGGCCAGCGAACGTCGCCAAGGACGGGCCGAGGGGGCAAGGACGCAAGGGCAGCCTCGACGAATCGCATGATCCTTGCTGTGCGACCCGACTGTGCTCGATCCTACCATCCCTACAGCGGAGGTCAGTCCACAAGAAACCTTCCACAAAAAACCAAACTCCGAAACCCAAGGACGTCCACTGAAGTGCTTTCGTGTGGGAGCGCCACGCTGCCCATAGCAAAACCATCGGAACCCGAGAAAAACCCAAGGCATCCCGGAGCGGCAGCGCAACCGACGCCCTCGGCGGCGAGCAAGGAGGGGCCACTGCCCCCTGCTCGGCCCCCCGAGGCAGAACCGCGAGGGATAGACCTTCGTGGGCCCTAGAAACGACAGGGCCGTTTTTGTTACCCGTTCCGTTCTGCCGTTTTGTCGCCGCTTCCGACGCCGCTTTTTTTTGTTACCGGTTCCGTTTCGCCGTGTTTTGACCGGTTCGGGCTCCGGTTCCCATCCTGGAGCCGTTTTTGTTGCCGTTTCCGGTCGCCGGTGCCTCGGCTCGAGCGGCGGGGCCTTCCATCGCGACCCGACGGGCCTTCCAGTCGGCAGTGCCGCGTCGGCGCGGCGCGTGCTTCGTCTTCGCTGCGCCCGTCGGCAGGTTTGTCGCTCCCGCCCCTGCTTTTTACGCAGCGGCCGCGGGCGAGCGCGCCGGCGGCGAGTCCGGTCAAAGCGGGCTACGCAGAGACTAGTTAGGCAGAGGAAACGCGAGAGAAAAAAAGCAGAGGCGACGCGCGAGGCAACAGCAAACCTCCCGCCCCTACGCGTCCCGCGTAGTTTTCTCTTCGCCAAGTCGTTGGAAGCGGGACCGAGCGCGAGCTCCTTCCGTCTTTGCGAGGTGCGAGCGCGTGCCAATCAAAATATCCAGTCGAGCCCAAACCGATTCTTATGCTGTGGAAGGGAAGGTGGGGGTAGGCGGGGCCCTCCGACTCGCTCGACCTGGCCAAATGAACTCCATCCTCCTACTCTGTCCTTCTCCTCCTCCTCCTCCTGCCTCCACGTCCCCTCCTTTTCCGTGCCGCATGGGGGGGCCCCTTCCTCACACTGGCCTTCCACCCCCTCACCTCCCCTCCTCCCCTGATCCTTGTCCTCCTCCTCCCGTCCCCCCTCCACCTCCTCCTCCTCTTCCTCCTCCTCCTCCTCCTCTTCTTCCTCCTCCTCCTAATTACTCCTCCTCCTCCTCCTCCTCCTCCTTCCTTCTCCTGTTCCCCCTCCTCCTCCTATCTCTCTATTCCTCCCTTCTCCTCCTCCTCCTCCTCCTCCTCCGCCTCCTCCTCCCCTCCTCCTCCCTCCTCCTCCCTCTGCGCGGGGCGCGGAAGCGAGCAGAGGAAGGAGGACGAGGAGAGAATCGAAGAAAGTGGGGTGGGCGGAGCCAGAACGCATCTGGCGAAAGGGTCTGTCCTCCTTGAAGTCAAGTCCTCGAGAAGCCACGTCGGTGCAGACGATAACCTCTATGACGCCTGGCGGCTGGATGGGGCCCTCTCAAGCGGCGCCGGGGCTGTGGCTGCGCACGCTTCCTGCCGGCCTGGCGGAACCCACCTCTTTCAACCAACGATGGACGGGGCTGATTGGTCTACACATCCTATCGCATGCAGCTTCGTAGCATCCTCACAGCACATGCCACTCCTCCTCCTCCTCCTCCTGCCTCCTCCTCCTCCTCCTCCTCCTCCTCCTCCGCCTGCTCCTCCTCCTCCTCCTCCTCCCGCCTCCTCTCTCCCTCCTCTCTCCTCCTCTCCTCCTCCTCCTCCCTCCTCCTCCTCTGCTCCGCCTCCTCCTCCTCCTCCTCCTCCTCCTCCTCCTCCTCCTCCTCCTGATGCCCTCGAAGCAACTGCGGCGAGCTTCTGCAGCTGCTGGGCCTCCTGGGGGCCCGTGGCGGGCCACGGGGCCGTCCAACAACGATCCGTGGCGACCGTGGACGACAGTCGTTGCTGTGTGAAGGGCCCCGGCGCGCCCCTCCCGAGCGCACCCCTTTCCCGCGCGCGGCGGCCCCCTCGGGAGTGCGCGGGGCAACCCACGCAAGCGCGCGTCCGTCCCCCCCCCTCCCGCGGCTCGCCCGGCATCTCGGCGCCCAGAGAGTTGCAAGGATGCACGGCGCGAGCTAAACGATGTTCTGGGTCCCTCTCACTCCCGCTTTTTCCCCCGTGTTGCCTTCGTTCCGCTCTTGCTGCGCAGCGGGGTCAGAAAGAAGATGGCCCACGAAATCCCCCAAAACACTGTTTAGCTCGCGCCCTGCGAGGACGTCCCAGGCAAAACGCACCCGACCACCTCGCGCGCGGTGTCGGAGCCCAGACCTGCGAGGACGCCTCGGGCTAAACGGGTCGGACCGCCTCAGGGCAGCTGTGCTGCCGCGCCCCGCGCCGCGCGAGGTGCGAGTAACCTCGCGCTCTCGCGCCGACGCCCCCCCCCCCGGAGCGAGGAGGGGGAGGAGGAGGGTGGAGGAGGAGGAGGAGGAGGAGGAGGAGGAGGAGGAGGAAGAGGAGGAAGAGGAGGAGGAGGAGGAGGACGAGGAGAAGGAGGAGGACGAGGACTCGCGAAGCGCGAGCCGCGAGCAGCTTCGCGCCCTCGTGGCGGCCCCTGCAGACAGAAGAGTTCCCCAGGCAGGGCGGCCCACGGCGACGGCGCCGCCGAAGACCCGACGAGCACGAGGCGGGAGCCGACTGGGCGCAGGCAGCTTGGAACACAGCAGCCGCGACACAGTAACCGACCGAAGCGACCAAACGCGCCCGACCGCGACGCAGCCGGACCGACCTCGGGGATCCCAAAACCGTGTGGTGACAGACCGTGCGGTGACCTCGGAGCCCCAAGAGACCTCACCGCACGGTCCGTCACCGCACGGTCTTGGGACCCCAGAGGCCCCAGTCGCCCGAGACATCCTCGGAGAACGACCCACGTCCCAGAACCGTGCGGTGACCCCGAATTTCCACCGACTCACCACACGGTGTGGTCACCACCCCGTACGGGAGTCCCCGACGGCCGGGCGGCGGACAACCCTACCCCGGAGGGGGGGACTCCACAAATAGGGCAGGGGCGGCTTGCTACAGTCAAAAACCCTAATAAGGACGCGCGGTAAGGACGCAAGACCCCTTGGAGGCCGAGGTTGGGATTTTTGGGGCGGCGGACGACGAAAACCTCGAGAACGCAAGAGCAAGGACGAGCAAGGACGCAAGGGTACCCTGAGCAAAGTCGCGCGTCCTTATTCGGATTTTTGACTGTACAGTGTGGGTCTGCCAGGCCCTGGCAAGTTCTGCCCGGGGGGCGAGGGCCAGGAGCGGCTCCTTCCAACCGCGTGGGCTCCCGGCGTCTCCCGCGGCCCATGCCTGTCCCGCGTGCGGCACCTCCGAGGCGGGGGTCGGAGCCCCTCGGGTCAGGTCGGGCATGTCCTCCTACAGGCGAGGCGGAGGTTGGGCGAAAGTTGAAAAATTGTCAAGACATGCTCCGAAAACAGCAAAAAGCTTAGAAACCTCGTCCCCAGGCTATTTTTTGACTGTGCTCGACTATTCTTGAACATTCGTCCTGTACAGGGCAGTTTCTAATACAGAGGATTTTTCAAAATATAGGATGTTCAATACATGATTAATGCATGAATACATGTATGCATGAACTCATCGTTGTTCTTAATACAAAATCCCTACATTTTTAATACATGATCCGCACGCGGAGCATGTATTAAAAACGGCACTGTAGAGGGACGCGCCCGACTTGCGTTGAGTCGCGAGCCCACGCGCGGCACCTCCGCGGCGCGCGTCGGAGCCCCCCCCCCGGGCAAGGGGGGCCGCACGGGCCCCTCGAGGCGCGCCCGCGGCCCCGCCGCGGCCCCCCTTGGCGCGCCAGCCCAAGACGAAGGTCGGGTTCCTCCCACAGGCGGATTTTGGACGAGAAGCTGAAACTAACAACAAACAAAACCAAATAGCCCCAAAAAAGTCAAACACTCGTCCCCAGGCTATTTTTTGACCATTGTTTGAATCTTCCTCCTGTGGGGGGGCATGCCCGACTGAACCCAAGACGAAGGCGGGATGAGGATGAGCACGCGCGTGCTGGAGGGTCCCGCTGGTGCCTCGGGCGCCGCGGCCGCCGCAAAAAGCGCTGTGGAGCCCTCCCAACCGCTCCGAGCAGGCTTCGGAGCGCCCTGGAGCGCCTCGTACCCTCACCTCGCACCTGCCCGACCCCCCCCCATCCCCCCCCTTGGCGCGCGCCTTTGCCCAAGTTCTTGATGGCGTCCACGCGCTCCGCCGCGCTGCGGTTGCCAGTCAGCGCCTGCGCCGCCCCCCCCCGCCTCTGGGCGCTGCCTCGCCCCCGACGTCTCAACAGGCACAGCACGAGACGCCGCCACGTGCAACGCGCGCCAGTGCACCGCGCATCGCACGCACCACATCATCAGTGTACTCCTCCCCCGTTGCCTTGCTTTCCCCGAGCCACGACATGCCCATGGATCCCTTGCGCGACGAGGACGTCGCCTTCGGCGTGTCTCGGCGCCCCTGGAGGAACCAACAACGGCAGACACACGAACTTTCGACGGTCCGCGCGGGTTCCTCGGATCCGCGCTGGAGCCCCCCCCCCCCCGGGCGCGCCGAGCGCGCCAGGCGCGGCGCCGCCAGGGGGGCCCACCGCGGCTCCAAGAAATCCGCACGGAGCGCCAGAGCTTGTCTGTGCCGCTTTTTCCTCCTCGAATCTCGGCGCCCCATCTCGGGTCGGGCGAAAGGGGGGATATCAAAGGGGGGGGGGAGAATCAGCTCACGTATAGCTGATTTTCCCGGCGCCTCCCGGCACGAGAGCCGGCCATGTATCGAGGAATGCCCCATCGGTGAGGCCGAAACCAGCTGCATGCAGCAGATTTCGTAACCCCCCCTTTCCCAATCCCCCCCTCGGCGGGCGCCGGCCGCTCTTCGGCGGCCCCATCGGCGGCCTCCGCGACGGCCTCCGCGACGCCCTGCCGGGCAGCCTTCGGGGTGGCCCCCGGCGGCCGTCGGCGGCCCTCGGCGGTCGTCGCTCGCCCTCGGCGGCCCTTCGGCGCCCCTCGGCGCCCCTCGGCGGCCGCCGGCCGCCCTTCGGCGGCCTCCGCGGCGGCCTCCGCGACGGCCTCCGCGACGGCCCTCCGAGGAGCCCTCGGGTGGCATTCGGCCAGCGGCGCAGAGGCCCGGCATCGCCCCCTTCGCGGCATCGGCGTCACCCCCTTCGCGGCATCGGCGTCGCCCCCTTCGCGGCATCGGCGTCGTCTTCCTCGGCAGCGTCGTCGCCGTCGTCGCCTGCGGCGTCGTTGTCGTCCTCGTCGCCTGCGGCGTCGTCTTCGTCGTCGTCGTCGGAGCAGCAGCAGCAGCAGGAGGGACGAGGAGGAGGAGGAGGAGGCACATGAGGAGGAGGGAGAAAGGACGAGGAGAGGGAAAGAAGGAAAAAAGAGGGGGAGGAGCAGGACAGGTGCAGACAAGAATGAGGGGGGGCCAGAGTAGGGAAATGGGGATACGCTGGAGGGACCAGCGCGAGGAGGGAGGAGGACCATGATGGGGTAGAATGGGCAGTGAAATTCAATGGTGCTTGGACGATCACGCAGCACACCCTTCAGTCCCACGTCCCCTCCTCAGAAATCCTGGCACGCATGAATCCCACCATCCCTTTAGGGCATGAGTGGTTTCGGGCGTTTCCTCTTCCAAGCCTATTCTTCCCCTTCGGGGAACGGTTTGCCCCTCCCCCCTCCCCCCTACCTGGAGGGAGGGGGCAGCGAGGTTGTCAGAGAGGGGGTTGGGCTCAAGATGGCTCAAAGAGGGCCTCTTAGATCCAAAAATGATCTTCAAGATGGCCCAAGATAGTGCAAGATCGCTCAAGATGGCTTCCAACATGTTTCGAGAGAGCCCAAGAGGGCCCAAATAATGGCCCAAGATGGCCCCAAGACAGCTCCGAGACGGCCGAGGAGAGCCCCAAGAGGCGACTTGTGGGGGCCAGAGGGGGACGCTAAGTGAGTACCCCCTATTTGATATAAACATGTTAGCCAGCGTGGACCCCCGAAAGAGTGCTTTTAGCAATCTATGGTATGCAAGGAAGTGTGGTGCAATATATGTGGTGCCATGTATGCTGTGAACTCAATGTGGTGCGGTACAGGTTGTGCAATCCATGTAGTGCAAGCGTTGAGATTTAATATATGTTGTACAAGCTATGTGGTGCAGTAGAAAGGTCAAACTATGTGTGGTTTCACAAATGAGGTGCACTCTGTGGTAGAATGTATGTGGTACAACCTATGTGGAGCAACAGATGTTGTGCACTCTACGTGGTGCGGCATCTGTTGTGCACTCCACGTGGTGCAAAATGAGCGGTTTGATGTCTCTTGCGCAAACTATCGGTGCAGTCTGTGCGGTGCCATCGATGTGTTGCAATTGTTTTTTTACCCATGATTTGACACATCCCACGCTCTTGCAAACATCTCACCCTCCCACCCGCAACTTGGTTTGGAAAACCTCTCAAGACCGACTACGACGACAACGACTACGACGACACCGACGACGTCTCCGACGACTTCGACGACGACGACAACGACGCCGACGCCGACGATGACGAAGACGACGACGACGACGTCGCCAACGAAGACGACGACGAGGGAGGAGGAAGGACGACGACGGCGACAACGACGACAACGACGACAACGACGAGGGAGGAGGGAGGACGGCGACGACGCGAACGACGAAGAAGGAGGAAGAACGACGACGCCGACGACGACAACGACGAGGGAGGAGGGAAGACGACGACGACGACGACGGAGAGAAATAGGAAGGACGACGACGAGACGCCGACGACGGACGACGACGACGACGAGGGAGGAGGAGTAAGGACGACCACGGCGACAACGACGACGGAAACGACCACGATGCCAACGAGGACGACGACGACGAACACGAGGAAAGAGAGAGGACGACGTAGGCGACGACGACGACGACGACGCGGGAGGAGGGAGGACGGCGACGACGACGACGACGACGACGCAAGAGCGCGCGCGCACGCTTTTGTTGAACATTTCGAAACCTTGAAACATGAATTTTGAAGGTGGCAAACGACGCGAGCGTCTGCACTTCGTCCCGGTTTTTGCCAAGGATTCTCGCGACGGCACACGCGCAAGGGCGTTCGACAGATTTCGACATGCGCGCGCGAAGCCCGTTTGATAGCATGTTGTGAAAATCTTGAAAAAAAAAACCTAGGGTTTCTTAAGATTTAGCAAGAGCTCGCGCGGAAGCTCTTTTAGCAAATCAGTGTTGCGAAACCCTGTGTTTTTGTAGGTGTTTTGGAAACTCGATTCCGAGGGTTTTGGAAAGATTTCGGCATGCGCGCGCGACGACGCGCGCGTGTGCACTTCGTGCAATTTGTTGCAAGGGATCCGTGAAAAGTCTTACGTTAGAGCAATAACTGTCCCCGCGTATAGTTTTTTATAAAGGAACTGCAAGGGGGTCGATACCGGCCCCACCGGGTTAGTGTCAATTCATATTTAGGATGGACATGCGGTCATAATCACATATGATTTACATACCCGATAGGGGGGATAACGCTGGGGGGGGGAGGGGGTAGAGTCTATTGTCTTTTTTGAACAAGAAAATCAATGATGGGCAGTCGATGTCGTGCGATCAATCTATGTGGTGGCATATGTCAGGTTGTGCAATCTACGTTGTGCAATCTAGATAGTGCAATATGTGTTGTATGTGGTGTGCGATCGATGATGTGAGCGGTTAGAAAGCGCGCCGCAGGCGTTTTTTTTGTCATGCAGCTTACCTGGTGCAATTCAACGACGGCGACGGGCCGCGATGAGGCGGCGATGGGGCGGCGACGGCCTGCACGGAGCCGCCGGACCGACACACAAGCCCAGGCGACGGGCGGCGACGAAGCGGCAACGGGGCGGCGACGGCCAGCACAAAGCCGCTAGAACGGCACACAGGCCCAGTTCTTCAGACCTGAAACAAGAACCTCAAATTGCAAACACTGTTCGGGGAACATCGAAACAACACAGGGGTGTTGACAGATTTGGGCTTTTCGTATCCTTCGGAAGCTTTTGGCCCATGGGGGCTCCAAGGTGGCCCCAGACTCTTTAAGATGGCCTCCAAGATGCCGCAAAGTGGTCAGAGTTGGTCCACGACATTTCTCCAAGAGACCACATGATGGCCCAAAGATGACTCCAAGTGGCCACGGAGAATCCCAAGGCCCAAATCAGCCCAACACATTCGGAAAACAAACTATTACAGCTCTCTCGCCCTTTCGCTTCCGATGTGCCCCCGAGGCCTCAAAGATGGCTCCAAGAGGGCCAAAAGAGGGCCCCAAGAGGAACCCGAGACGGCCCCAAGAGCGCCCCAAGAGGGCCCCAAGAGGAGACCGTGGGACCTCCAGATGGGGGTGCGTCCAGAGCTCTTCCGCCAGGAGCCTCGCAGAGCTCTTCCCTCGCGCGGCGCTGCTCGGAACGCATGGAAGGATTTTCCTCCAGCGTGGGCTGAAAAAATGGGGACTAGAATACGGCCATAAGCTGGTGGAGTTACGCGAGGCGTCTAGAATTTGCCTCTGCGCTCCCTCGAAGCACGAGCACAGCGCACGTGCCTGCCAGCTGGGCGAGGATCCCCTCGTGAGACGGGGGCCACCGCCATCCTTCGAGGCAAAATCACTTGTGGGCGACAATCCCACACTACTTTCAGACAGAGCGCCGCCCTCTATCCGTCAAACTGCTGCACAAACTTAACGGCTGGTAGAAAAGCCGACATAATATCAAACGAGAACCCATCCTGAAAAGGAGCCGCACTTTGACCCTGCAATTGCTGCGCCAGTGTGCAGATGTATAAAATATATGTAATAAGGTGTGCAAGCGCCTTGTCACAATTCCTTGTAAGTCTTCAGCGACTGCAATATGGAGCAGCTGGGGGAACTCGTTCAAACGAATGAGCGCGGCACGATGGCGAGAACCACGCTCTGGAAACAATTCGCCCTCGATCCTTGTCACAATCGGGGTCGTTGAGCGCGAATAAGGAATGGCAGTTGAGGCGAGAACTAGATTCTGGAAACGACTCGCCCTGCATCCGTCTGGGCAACCGCTTGGAACTTCATTTTTGTTTTATTTTTTAGATCATATTGCTAAGCCACCTCGCAAACGTAACACATGTACCAGGCCGTGCGACTACGCTTCAGCGGGAAATGAGGGGCGCGCGGGTCCCCCAGGCACAACCCGCTCGACGCTTCCCCATCCCAAGCGCCGCCCACATACCCGCGACTCATCCCGCGACGGACGGCGCAGCCTCGTTTGGGGCAAACCCTTCGGCACAATGCCGGAAATGTGCGGCGCCCCCCTTCCCCCCCCCCCAACCGCTTGGAACTTCAAGTCTCCTGATCGAGCGGTGAAAATACTAACACACGAGACGCCCAACTCGCGTTGGGGAGAGACCCGCCTCTCGAGCCCGCGGCGGCCCGCTGCGATGCCGTGCGGACGGCCGCGCCGAGGCAGACAGGCAGAAGACAGAGGAGCAGGAAGATAGACACCTCCTCCTCCTCCTCCTCCTCCTCCTCCTCCTCCCTCCTCCTCCTCCTCCTCCTCCTCCTCCTCCACCAGGATCCGGCGCACGCTAACATGGACCAGGGATCCGTGGACCTGGCGCGTGTGCGCCAGATCCACGGATCGGGGAAAATACCCGTAGGTCGGGCGTGTCCCCCGACATGAGGATTTTTGATTAAAAAATATTTAAACAAAAATCCAACAGTGCTAAAAAATACTTCAAAAATCGTCCCCGTACTATTTTTGATTATTTTTGAATATTCCTCCTGTAGAGGGACACGCCCGAATTAACGTCAGATCCACTGTTTCGGGGAAATGCCCCCCGAGACTTGGAGCCAATGCCGCCTCATTCGGCGACGGAGCGCGTCAACTTCATCCGGAGGCGGGACCCGTCGATAAGCCACGCACCTTGACCTAGGTTGGCGCTTCCTCGACGCGGACAAGGCAAGCCCTCCCCGTTCATGCAGCTCCCCCCTCCGCCTGCGACGGGATGCCCATGCGCCTGAGCTCCTGCAAGACCTGCCGGGGAAACGGGGGGGCAATGCAGGCCCCTCCTGGGCAAAACGTGCGACAACACCGCTAACAGATGGCGGGTTCCGGAAACCGTGGAGACCAAAAAAGTGTCATCCCCTGGGCGTGTAGCTTTTGTCTCCGCCAGCTGCGGCTGGCTGCCGCCGGCGAGGCCGCCCTCGCTTCACTTCCGCTGGTTCCCTCCAGCCTTCCGCCGAGGCGGGAACATAAACTGCTCGATGTCTCGGACACGAAGCTTTTTCAGGAGCGCTCCACACGTATGCCTGCACACGCATCCGTGCGCACCCATGTACACGCAGATACATGCTGATTCGGAAGTCCACCGTGATGGTGGAAGGTCAATGCGAAGCACGCCAGCGGCACACGGCCAGAAGCACTTGGTGAGGATGGGACAGGGGGAGAAGGACGCAGGGGTACGTTCGATGCGGTGCCGCGCCATCACCAAGAGTTTTCACAAAACTCAAGCATCGCGCGTGCTTATGTATGTGGCAAAACGACAACACAAACACCCTAACAAAAACGAGAGGTGCCTGTGGCCGTGCATATCCCGAAAATACGGCCATAAGGAACCGAACTCTATACACCAACGCTTTTCCGGCCCTGCGCTGAAACCTTCACAAAAACCGGATCCTGGTGTACACGGAATCCTGGTGTATAAATAGTTCGTTATTTCCCTGGGGAAACGGGGAACAAGTATGCACCACACCACCCGGACGTCGTCCCAGACCGTCAAAAAGTCCTGGGATTGAAAAACGGCCCGCCACTGGTCATGTATCGGTTCCAGTTTCCGATGTTCAGCACATTGCCGGGTGTTCCTACACGGCCAACGCCCTTGCATAAGCACGCGCAGTGAGGATGCAAGACCCTGCAACGTCCACGTTGGACTTCGCCGGCCCAGCGGACCACGGGCATGTCTGATGAGAAATGCAGGCCGCGCGGGCAATGGCTCGGGCTAGGTCGGGCATGTCCTCCTACAGGCGGATTCTGAAATTTCAAAGTAATCACAAGCATTCAAAACGATGGGAATAAAACAGGAAAATCGTCGCCCCGACTCTTTCTTTACGATGTTGGAAAAAATCGCCCGATAGAGGGACACGCCAACTTAAGGCCCAGGCGAGGAATTCAGGCGAGGGACACGCCAACCTAAGAACGTTGCATCAGCTGGCGGTAAAATGCGAATGCCGCCACGCACACATCTCAAGCCTGGATAAAATACGCACGAGTGCGGCCAGGGGATTGCAATTGGGAGCCGTTACTTCCTCACCCAGCGTGCGGAACAGACGCGCACAACGTCGAGGGAGTGGAGAGGAGGAGGAGGAGGAGAAGGAGGACGAGAAGGAGGAGTAGGAGGAGAAGGACGAGGGGAAGGAGGAGCAGGAGTAGGAGGAGGAGGAGCAGGAAGGGAACGAGGAAAATTGGGTCCTCTTCGGGCGTGCCGGCGTACCCTCGTGTTGAGGCTGGCTCTGGGGGGATATGGGGGCGTCTGGACTCAACTGGGGCCGAGGAACGAGCAGAAACACGCGCCAGGAGCGACCCGAGGAGCGCGCGACGCGCTCCCAAAGGGCGCCCCAAGAACGCGGGCCAACGCGCGTCGGGCCTCATGGTTGCCACAAGATGGGCCTTCACATGACTTCGATGTGGGGGCGAGCTTTGGGGGAACTCAGAGCGGGGCATGCCTTTTTAAGAGGGCGGCGGGGCTTCTCAGAAGCCCTCCTGCCTTCTGAGAAGTGTTATGTGTCTTCGGCGAAGGCAGGGAAAGCTTCTAAATGGCTGGAGGGCTTCTGAGAAGCCCCGCCGCCTTCTGAGAAGGCCTGCCACCTTCCGACCTCCCATGGTGCAAACAATGGGCGTGGTGGGCGCATGCGAGCGCAGCCACTGGGGCCTTCGGTGAAGTGCCTATGGGACCACGAAGCGTGTGAGGGGTGTGCCAAAGTGAAGGGGGTGACGGGAGGAGGGAGGAGGGGGAGGAGGAGAGGAGAGGAAGGAAGGAGACGCGGAGCGTTCTTAAAAACCAGGACCCAACACCACAGGATGGTTTGGAAATGCTCAGAGCACATTCAAACATGTACCGAACATGGTAGAACAATCGCCCCCAAGCTATGTCTTGACTGGTCTCCATAGTTCCTCCTGTAGGGGGACAGGCCCGTGTTAGTCGCAGCGTTCCACGCTCAAGACGGCCCCTGCAGACCCAAAGCCCGGCCCCCAGCCTGCCCCCGAGCCTTCCAAGAAGTGCCCAAGGGCCCCCCCAGGGCGAGCCCCCACAAAAATGAAGGGGCCCTGGGGCACACAAATAAATACACACACATAAAATAATTCCCCATATTTTCGGGGTTGGTGTCTTCCCCCCACCTCCCATATATTTCCTCATATTTTCTAGGAAATCTACTTGTGTTTGTGTGTTCTTTCCCCTCCTGCCCCCGAGCCTTCCAAGCAGTGCCCAAGGGGCCCCCCCGGGCGAGCCCCCCTCAAAAAGCCCCGACGTCGCGCCGCCGCCCCATCGGCGGAAGGGGCCGAATGCCTCTAGATCCGCCGCCCCCTGTAGTCTTGCCGCAGTGGTGCACGGCGTGCAAGACGTCAGGTAGATGTTGTATTCCTTGTGGGGGATTCCCAATGGGGTCTCGGCCCAACCCGCCGGCCGCGCGGCAAGCCACGCAGGACCTGGTCGGCAAGGATTTCTCCGCGTCACATGGCTCCAAGACTGCCTCCAAGACGGCCAAGATGGCTTCAAAGACGGCGAAGATGGCATCAACAACGCCCAATGCGGCCGCACTATGTTTCCAAGACGGCCCAAGATGCATCCAAGACGGCCTAAGATGAACAGTCCAAGAGGCCGAGGCCATCAAGAGGCATCCAACAGAACCTCCGAAAGGTCAAACATGTGTTTTGGAGTTCTCGCCTTTTCGGGCTTCCGACGCTCGAAGACGGCTGGCCCAATGGGCCCGCAAGAACGCCCAAGAGGCTCCGCAAGACAGCCAAGGCCCAAGACTGCCAAAGAGGCCCCCAAGATGGTCCCAAGACGGCCCCAGAGACCTCCAAGACGGCCCTAAAGCGGCCAAAGACAAATCTACGACTTCCCAGAGAGGGCCCCAAGACGGCCTTTGAAGGCCAAGAGGTCCCCTAAAGGCCCCCAAGGGTCCCCTAAGGATCCACCAAGAGGCGTCAGGAGGCCTCCAAGAGGCCCCAAGAGGCCCCCAAGAGGCCCGTCAGAGGCCCCCAGCTTCCAGGAAGGCCCCAGGAGGCTCCAAGAGGGCATCAAGAGGCCTCTTATTCCTCCTCCCCCTCGTAGGCGTCTTCGATATTTCTTCACACACGTATACACATAGTGTGCATGACACACCGAGGAGACGAATGTATAAACTAGAGCACGATAGGGGGAGGAATGGAAGAGGAGGGGCGAAGGGAAGGGAGATGATCACTGCGAATGACCAATGAGAATTGTGAAAGTGTGAGTGCTGCGAGGCATGTGGGACGAAGGAAGAGAAGGGCTCCTTGTGGGGCCACGAAGCGCGTGAGTGGTGCGCCATAATGGGCGGGGCACGCATGGGAACCCTGCCGCAACAGCCTTCGGCGGTGCTTCCTGTGAGCCACGGAGCGTGTGACGGGTGTGCCGACATAGGCGGGGAGGCACGTGTAAACCCTACCACGGGAGCCTTCGGAGAGAAGCTCCCCGTGGGGCCTCAGGGCGTGCGAGGGGGGTGTGCCGACATGGGCTGGGAGACGCACCCGAACCCTGCCATCCTGTGGGGCCACGAAACGTGTGCGGGGTGCGCCTAAGTGGTAGGGGGGGCGCATGCGAACCCTGCCACTGGGGCCCTGGGGGAGCTCCCCGTGGGGCCACGAGCGTGTGAGGAATGCACCGAAGTGGTGGGGGAGACGCATGCAAAACCAGCCTCAGGAGCCTTCGGAGCTCCCCGTGGGGCCACGCAATGTGTGAGGGGTACGCCGAAGTGGTGGGGGAGACACATGCAAACCCTGCCTCAGGAG